TGATCCTTACCCAGGTTAAACCCAACTCTTAGACAAACTGCACTTCTAAACAAGCAGTTAAAGGTGTCTAGAGAAAAACAAACTGTACTGACAATCTCACCTTAAATTACCATAATACTCAAATGAGCTTTCAGCACAGGTCTACAGTCTATTTTGCTGAAGCTAGTTCACTTCTCCCTCTCCATGGTAACTATTTCACTTGTCCTCTTTCATCAACCTCCAGCACCTTTCTGCACTCTCAGCAAAAGGTCCTACCTTCATGAAGAAGATAAAAGCCATGAGAGAACTTCAACTTCCCACTACCAAATCTAAATGCTTACCTGTATCTGTGTCCACTTATTCTGCCTTTTCTCAGTTACAATGGAAGAAGTGTTCTTGCTCTTAGAGAATGGGCTAACCTCATCATTTGTGCTCAGGTTCCTTCCCTTGGTCATGCAAGAATGTGTCTCCTAGAATTGTTCCTGCTCTGTCCTACATTATCATTTTTTTCATGTCTCCTGGAGCATTACCATCAGTACACAAGCATGCTGTAATAACTGCCATTTAAAAAAATAAATAATAAGGAAGTGAATAAACTAAGGAATAAAGGATTTTACTTCCCTTTCAACTACTTCCCTGTTTTACCAATCTTCTTTAAAATAAAACACCTCTCAGCTGGTTAATCGTCCATCTCTTGATTTCGGCTCAGGTCATGATCTCAAGGTTGTGGGATGGAGCCCCACATTGAGCTCTGTGCTCAGCATGGAGTCTGCTTATTCCTCTTCCCTCTGCCCCTCCCCCCCCCACTCTCTCTCTAAAATAAATAAAATCTTAAAAAAATAAAATAAAATAAAACAGCTCTCAGGGCACCCTGGGTGGCTCAGTCCATTGAGCATCCGTTGAATACATTCCTTTCTTGTTTCACCACTACTTGTCTCTTTGCCTTTGGATTTTCTCGGTGACAAGCAGTTGAACCTCATCTACTTGGGACCCCCAAAGCCAGGTATTCTTGCACCCCTGTGCCCTGGCTATACCCCCACCTCCAATCAAATGATTCTTAAATTTATATTTCCAGTCCTGATTTCTCTTTTGAGCTACATATTACCATATCAAATCACCTTCTTGTTATTTCCATCTGGAATCTAAGAAGCATCTCAAACTTGACTTCTAGAAAATAGAACCTCATTTTTCCCTTATCAAATCCACTCTTCAGCCTTCTTCCCCATCATGGTTAATGGCATGACCATTCATTCAGGAGAAAAATTTAGCAGTCAATCTTGACTTTTCTTTTTCCTTGACATCCCGATATTTACAAATCCAAAAGGAAGGCTTGTTAAATCTATCTTTAAAATACATCCTAAATATGACCATTTCTCACCACCTTCACTGGCGCACCCTAATGCCCTAGATCCCAGTCGCATGCAATGATCACTGGACCAATGGCATTAGCCTTCTCACTTGTAACTTTCTGATTCCACTCTTGCTCTCAACAGTCTCTTCTTCACAGCCAGAGTGACTTTTTTTAAAAAAAACACGTTCTAAAAATTGAAAACCTGTTTATTTAGAATAGAAACGGGATTCCAGAAATATATTTAAATATAACAAACTACACAGAACCTAAGTTCTTTTCTTCATGGCTACTAATTTACACAAGAATACTGATAAAACTGAAGATAGTCTCCCTACAATTTCCAGGCACTGAAATTCTCCTATGGCTATGTTTTAAATATAATCTACTTCTGTATATAATTCCATTATGTAATCAGCTTATTGACAGATCATGTACCAGATTATGCAAGAACCCTGCTCAAAATTTTCCAAAGGCTTCCTATCATGTTTAGAATAAAACGTCTTTGCAAAATCATACACAATCTAGGGCCAACCAACCTCTTACACCTTAACTCTCTCCCCTTAATTCATCATGCTGTGCTATGTTGTGCAAAGCCACAGTAGCCTCCCTGCTTTTTCTTGAACAGACCAAACTTACTATGCCTCGGGGCCTTTGAACTTGCTATTCCCTTTGCCTGGAAAACTCTCTTTCCAGATATTCACATGGCTTGTTCTCATACTTCATTCAACTCTCAACTTGATACCTCCTCAGAGAAGTCTTTTTAAACTAATACTTCTAAAATATTCTTTTTTTTTTTTTTTTTGGTACTAAAATAGTCTCCTATTCTCACTGCCCATCACTCTCTACGTCAATACACTGCTTTGTCGGGGTGCCTAGGTGGCTCAGTCATTAAGCGTCTGCCTTCGGCTCAGGTCATGATCCCAGGGTTCTGGGATCGAGCCCTGCATCGGGCTCCCTGCTCCGCGGGAAGCCTGCTTCTCCCTCTCCCACTCCCCCCCTGCTTGTGTTCCCTCTCTCGCTGTGTCTCTGTCAAATAAATAAATAAATAAAATCTTTATTAAAAAAAATACGCTGCTTTGTGTTTATTCATAGCATATACCACTACCTAAAATTATGTATTTGTTTTCTATATTATCTGTCTTCGCCAATAAAATATAACCTCCATAAGAGGCTCATTTTAGTCAGCTTGTTCACCACTACAGATCCATGCCTCACACATATTATGTGCTCATTAGATATCTGTTATGTGTATGAATAAACAATAACCTGGTAATAGTCTAAAACCTTAAAAATAAAAGATATCTGGAAAAGAAATGGGATTTCAGAAATACATTTAATCTAGCAAGCTACACAGAACCTGAATTATTTACCTGCTTTGCATCTATTAATGCAAGATCTTCACCAGAATCAGAAAGATTCTCTCGTAATTTTTAGGCACCTAAATTCTCATGTGCCTATATTTTAAATATAATTTACATTTATGTAAACAACTCTATTATTATATACTTAGCTCATTCAAAAGTCAGTATTTCAACTTCTGTGCAACTAATTTGCTAGAAAAGGAAAATCACAATCAGTACCAAGTTAAAACAAAACTAAAGGTAAAAAGGAGACATCAGAAGAACTGAACTATCGGTAGGACAATATAAGGAGCTCCACTGACCTGATCCCCAGTAAAACTGGTGAAAATTATTTTAAAAAACTAAAGCTCTTGGAAACGGTCCTTAAGGCAAATAACAAATGGAGAAACATCTATTCAAGAAAAGTGAAAATTCTATGGTACTTGAACCCAAACCGCTCTCTCCCTCCTCCAGAGCAGAGAGGGTGGCTCCACTCCAGACTGTTGCCACCAAGGACACAGGACTCCCTCATTCCCCAGTTCCCAACCGGAGGGCTTTCTTCCCATAGAAGCAGGACTTCAGCATTTCTGAGGTTCTTCCAGCTCTCTGTTGTGGAGGAGGCTAAGTCCTGGGTTAGTGTGGAAAGAGAAGCTTCTTTCTTGCACCCAGCGCCACTCGTGGAATGGAAGCTCTACCTTGGGTATATGTTGACAATACTCAAGGCCCAAAAGCCCTCCCCACCCCCCAGCACCACCCCCCCAGCTCAGGAAGCAGTGTTTCCATGCAGGAGAGACAAGCTGAGAGATCTCCACCTACTGCCCCATCTCAGCTCCTAAAAAGTAAGGATGTCATTCAGAAGCTTACCATAGTCCTCAGCCCAACTTTAGAGCCCTGGCTCAGAGATTTTGCCTGGGGGCAGGAGAAAGGCCATTTAAAAAGACACCTCCTAATCTCTTCCCAAAGGAACTTATCTTGTTCTCAACAGTAAAGTTTAAGCTTAAAGCATTTCTCAAAAATAGGGAAGGTTGTGGTATAGGGAGTTGGGAGATCTGTAGAGCTAATGAAGATAAAGCCTAGACTACAGGCTGGCCAGGTAAGAGAGAACAGGGGGAGTAAGACAACTGGAAGGAGGGAGGCCTCCCGAGGTCACAAAAAAACAAACTCTGACCTCAGAGATTGGATTATATTAGTTTGTCCAGGAATTTATGCCCCAGGGTACTACTGTAAACAACAGAGCAATCAGCCCGCAATAAGTGGAACTTAAAAACTGGGTATGGCCACGGCAAGTGCAGAAGAGAGCCCTACCAGTACAACTGCCATTCCAGGGCAACCGCAGGCTGACTGCCCCAGGAGCAACAACAGAGACCTAATACTATGTGTTGGGGAAGGGGAGGGGTGGGGAGGGTGGCAGGGGAAAAGCCTTCACTGAAACAAATCCAGTTCAGTCCCTAAACACATAAACAAGCAAATAATAATAAAAAGCCCTGGAAAGGAGGACCCATATCTAAAACTATATTATCTAAAATGTCCAGTTTCCAACAAAAAAATTAAAAGGAATCAAAGAAACAGGGAAGTATGACCCATCCATTTGGGGGTGGGGAGAGGCAACAGAAACCACCTGTGACAGTGACCAGTTGTCGGATTTAAGAGGAAAAAATTTCAAAGTAGCCCTTACAAATGCATTCACAGAACCAAAGGAGAGCTTGATTAAAGACATAAGGAAAGCATGATGACAACATTGTATCAAATAGAGAATATCAATAAAGAGAAAATTTTTTTAAAGAACCAAATGGAAATTCTGGATAGGAAATGTACAACAATGAAAACAGAACTGCAGGATCTAGAAAGAGCCTCAGACTGCAAAAAAGACCCTTGATCCTAAAGGGCCAATGTGTGTTCTTACTACAAATCCACTCTAAGTCTGTGTCTAATGTACTTTTTTTTTTTTAAGATTGTATTTATTTATTTGACAGAGAGAGAGCAGGAGAGCACAAGTAGGGGGAGCAGCAGAGGGAGAGGGAGAAGCAGGCTCCCCACTGAACAGGGAGCCTGATGTGGGGCTTGATCCCAGGACCCTGGGACCATGACCTGAGCCGAAGGCAGACGCTTAACTGACTGAGCCACTCAAGCACCCCTAATGTACTTTTTTATTAAAGCCACAACTTTTGATAAAATTAATTAACTCTATCCTATAATTTCATCATAAAATCTATATGCTACTTCTTGGATAAGATCCATTCTATACGTAATTCGTATTTCTTTTTTTAAAAAGTGATACTATAAATAACAGGTTAATTCTTGAATATTTAATAATAATATGAAAATCTTACTGGTCTGACGTCACCACAGGAATTGGTAAATTGTCGAGCCAAGCCAAAATCAAGCATGTAACATTTCCTACATGTACTAGGAAAGCGACCCATGGCGAAGTTCGACTAGAAAAGCAAAGAAGGAAAATATACATATTCTTACAATACTAAGTCCTTACATCTATCCTTCCTATATTTTAATTCTATTTAAACTCTCTCTATATAATACATATGTCTCAAATACACTATTCTAATCCATGATGTTTACTGGATGTTAATACACAATCTCATTATGGGTTCTATTAATGCCCAGGAGCAGGTAACTTTGAGAAAGAATTTAAGTGATGATACAAAGTTACATACAACAACACTGACTTAAGTGTAACTCTATGTTCCTTGAAACTCTAGTCTAAGTGAGTGCTTTAAAGACAGCCCAATTCTTCCTTTTTAAAATGGGAGGAACTAGGAGTGAGCAAAATTAAATACATAGCTAGAAATTTAAATGAATTTCCTATGAGCAACATAAAGCTGAATTTCACTAAGCATAAAAATTAAAATTCAATTTAAGGAAACATTTCAAAACAGACTTAAGGAAAATATACTTTGCATTCTTCCCTTAAAAAAATAAATGTAATGTTAGATGAGCACAGACTCACAAAATGGTATGTAAAAAGAGAATTTATAAAGGAAAAAGCAAAACTGCAACAGAATTGTTAGCTTTTATTTTAAAATACTGTTCTACTTAGGGAGCTTTCAGATGAAAATGGAAAGTCTTTAGTCACTATGCTTTTAAAGTAGTGACATTTAGTTTGGCATAGAATTAAGTGCAAGAGAAATCTACATTACATTAAGTCTGACTCTACAATGTTAATTTTAGTTGGCATTTTCATGTAAACTATTTAATTTTAAAAATCATGTAGCTACAGATGGGTGTAATTTTCAAATGCACTAACCAACACATGATATATTTATAGTAAATACAGTATATCAGAAATGGATCATTTCCCCTTGTGAGCAATAAAAAAACCAAGAAGGAAAAATAAAAGCATATTTCAGTTATGGAAATGACAATTTCTAAGAAAAAACAGAATAGAAAAAAATATTATATATTGCCACTGTAGCCCTCAGAAGAAAAAATAAGGTCTTTCATAATTGATGGTTCCTTATAAGTACAATTTGTCACTTGAGAAATAGTTCAGAGAACACAGTGCATACATCTAAAAGCAACATATGTATATATTTTTACCCAGTATCAGAAAAAAGAAATCTAAAGAATAACTTCCAATTTAGATGTAAGACTAAGTAACTAGAAATGTTAACACACATAATCATAATAGTCAACCATTAATAATTTTTAATTTGGCTGTGAGCAACATTTTCATTGTATGAGAAAAGCTCTTGAATGTTAAATTGTGGTTTGTAATTAGAAATTTTTTTTATGTAATTAGAATTTTTTAAAAAAATTGAGAGGTAAGTTACATTTTGCTTCTAGTTACTGAAATTAAAATATTACCTTGTATTTAATAATGGAAAGCAAATACAGAATGCTACATTCATAATTTATTGGATCCCATTGTCAGATTAAGAGTACAAAGCAAACTCATTCTGTGCTCTGACTTGAAACGGCCCCTTACCGGTTTGATGTCTCGGTGCAAGAATCCCACAGAATGGATGCTCTCAATAGACTCCAGAATCTGTCTACCCAACCGAAGAGTAGTGCTAATGGTGAATGTACCCCGGGACTGGCTACGGCGTAGATCTGCCAGATTCCGACCCTGTGGAAACCAAATAAACACTTCCAAATCTGGTACTATGTTATAAGAGAAGACTGGGAAGTTATTCATTTATCATTAAAAATGCTTTGACAGGGGAACCTGGGTAGCTCAGCTGGTTGACCATCTGACTCTTGGTTTCCACTCGGGCTGTGGTCTTGGGGTTGTGGGATTGAGCCCCGCGCTGGGCCCACACTCAGCGGGGAGTCTGCTTGGGACTCTCTCTCCCTTTGCCCCTCCCCCTACTCATGCTCATGATCTCTCTCTCTCTCCTCAAATAAATAAATCTTTAAAAAAATGTTTTGACAGAAAGAGCAAGGATTTTACCCAAATCATGATCCTCTCATTCAAGAGAAGAGATTCCATTAAGGTAATACATGAATGTTTCAGACAAATTTAAGAATAACCAGAAGTTTTTGAACATATTATGTTTTTGAGTCATCGTGTTTCCCTTTGTCTTTCATGCCATAACAAAATATAGTCTTGATTATTTGAAAATACAGAAAATGTATGTACCCAGAGCAGTAATTCCTCATTACTGCCTAACATACTCCCATACAAACTACTTAATTTTTCCGTGTCTGGTTTCCTTATAAAATGAGGGCAATGATACCTACACCTTGCAATGTTTTATGAAGATTAAAGAAGATCCACGTAAAGTGTTTACCATACTGTCTGGGACACACTAAGTACTCAATAAATGCTAATGATTGTTATTATAAACAAAAATGACATGAAACAAACTCAATTACTTGTAGCAACAGATAAAAGCAATGAATGTATCTAGCCTGTGCCAGACGTGTTACATCATGATTGCATTTAATCCTTACAGCCCCCTAAAATAGAAGATGTTGCAGATGAAGAAACTGAGGCTCAGAAAGTTTAAACAATGTTAGCCTACTAAGGTAAAGTTGTTTTTCAAATCTAAACCTGTGTGAATTTGAACTTGTTGTTTTGTTCACTTCACAGTGCTGCTCCTCCGGAAAGTTCTTCGTTGCCTAGGTAACAAACCAATAATTTGATGAGAAGAGCAGGGCTACGATGCTGCAGTTCTATGGCCCAAAGAATGGAAACTGGCTCCTCCATCACAAGAGAATTTAAATAGCCTAATCTCTCTATTCCCCAAATTTTGTAGTGTATGTTAGGGATTAATACCACCAATGCCATCATCTCAACTGAAGACACCTGATTCACTTTTGAAAAAGTAATAAATTCTTAAATTACTTCAGTGCCACTTAAAATACTAACTAGCACTCAAGTAACTGAAGAATCAAAAAAGTACAAGAAAGTCAGGAGCCTTTCCCACTTCATCGCTTCTTTAAAAATGCAGTTTTAGGGGTGCCTGGGTGGCTCAGTCGTTAAGCATCTGCCTTCGGCTCAGTTCCAGGGTCCTGGGATTGAGCCCTGCATTGGGCTCCCTGCTCCATGGGGAGCCTGCTTCTCCCTCTCCCACTCCCCCTGCTGTGTTCCCTCTCTCACTGTCTCTCTCTGTCAAATAAATAAATAAAAAACCTTTAAAAAAAATTAAAAAAAAAATTTCTCACAGCACAAACTGGCAGTTCTCTGTATTACGAAGTTTTCATGTTAGGAGAATTTATTGTTCTCTACATCTCAGCAAATGTCAAGTAAGTGATAATCTACAACAACAAGTTTTACAATCCCATGAGTAGCGAATAACTTATTAGCATTCTAATAATTTTTTCTCAAAAATCAGTGTTTTGATTTCCAAAAACATACCTAAGAAATATTGGAACTTTATTTGTAAACAACTTCCATCATTATAAAAGCTTTTGAAAGAAAATCAATTAATTTGGTTTATGGTATTAGTAATGATTTTAAATTTTAAATCTTTTATTTTTTAATTTTTAAAGATTTTATTTATTTATTTGACAGAGAGAGCGCACAAGCCGGGGGAGTGGCAGGCAGAGGGATAAACAGGCTCCCCACTGAGCAGGGAGCCGGATGTGGGGCTCGATCCCAGGACCCTGGGATCATGACCTGAGCCGAAGGCAGACGCTTAATCGACTGAGCCACCGAGGTGTCCCTAAAATTTCAAATCTTTTAAAATGTAAATCTAAGGTATCAATTAACAAAATCCAAAAAGATAAAATATAAGGCTAGCAAGAGTATGGGGGAAAGTGGGGTTTTTTTTGTTTTGTTTTTTTGGGGGAGGAAAGTTATTAACATGGTAAGTACAAGCAGGTTTTATCCACCAAATTATACTTCAGAGTATAAACTAAAAGTAGTTATTATCTGTTATAGAGAAAAATAGAAAACAATCTATATATCTATCAATAAAGGAAAGTTTAATAAATTATGGTACACTCATCTTACTGAGTGGTATGCAGCCACCAAAAAAAAAAAAAAAAAGAATCCTTATTCATAATAACATAGAATGAATACTATTGAATGAAAAAACCAAATTCATTTTTCTCTAAGTAATTCTATAAATTTAACATGATCCCAATAAAAATGCAAGTGGATTTTATTATTAAAAATGTAACATACACTTAAAAGAAAATAATATAATGAACCCTCATACACCTACTCATCACCAAGAATTAACAATTATCAGTTCACAGCCAATCTTGTTTCACCTGTTGCCAAAGATGGAGCAATTTGACCATTAAAAAGAAAAACAACTGCAATAATTGAGAACCATAAAATATGTGAAATGCATGAACTCATTTTTTTTTAAAAAAGAGAGTTCATTTGTCCTCTTTGGAAAATATTAGGGAACCAACTCATTATTCTGAAAACTAGTAAAAAGAAGAAAAGAAACAAGTATTAGTCCTGCCCTTCCTGTATAAAATTTATCTCAGGTAACCTAAGTAGTTGGAGTGCTTTTTTGAAAAAGAATTCCAGCTAATAAATTAAGGAAAACTGATAGAATTAGAATAGTACATCCGCAGCCCCACTGAAGTAATGGATCTAGGCAATGATTACTAATGCGTTGATAAAACTTAGGAGAAAAACCACTGGGAACTTTAAAAAGGATGCATCAGGCTGTCTCCCTGAATCTCAAGGATCAATCCTAACACGATTAAAAAGAGACAACCCAGACATTGCTTACTGATGTGATGCAAGAGGAAGCATACCCTCACCTCTGAAGTACTCTGGCTAATTAAAACAAAAGAGCTAATCACCAGTTTACAGAAAATACAGTGGATAGAAGAATGTGTTAAACAAGGAGGGAGATAATCAGCAAACTCCAGAATATGAAAACTTCATGATAAATGACTTCATTTTTATCAATGACAGTATGAACAATAACAACAAAAAACTGTAAAAAAAAAAAAAAAAGAGGGAACCTATAGAGTAAAAGAAGTTTAAGAATTATATCCACCAAATGCAATGTGTGGAACCCTGTGTGAAACCAGATTTAAGGAATCCAAATATAAAAAAAATAAAACACATACAATAAGGAAATCTGAAGATCATCTTGATATTTAATGCTATTATGAAGGAATTACTGTGTACTGTGATTAAGAGGAGAAAAAAGGAATCTCTGACTCATAGGAATACATATTCATGTATTTCCAGATAAAATATGCCTTCAGTTTGCTTTGAAATAATCTGGGGAGGGAGAGGAGAGGAAGAATACATCAGGAACAAGATGGGCCACATACTGAAAACTACTGAAGCTGGGTGATGAGTACATGGGTGTTCATTATACTATTCTATTTTTGTGTATGTTTAATTTTTTTCATAATAAGAAAAAGTTTTAAAAATATGGCAGCTCTGATGTCAGGCAAACTAGATCTACATCTGTACGGTTACAAGATTCAAAATATTTTTTTGCCCCTCCCTAGGTGATAATGCTTTTCACAAAATATCACTCTTAGGCTATACTAAAGCTGCTCATGTAAAGCCTCAATGGTTAAAGGAAATTTCATGAGACTTGTCCCAGGTCTTGCTGGTAGAAATGAGAAAAGAAATAAGTACAACTTCTTGGACCCGTAAGATTTTAAGACCCAGATTTTAAGAGCCACTGAGGCGTCCCAGTCCTTAAAAATTTTAAGGCAGATATTATACAACTGAATCAGCAAGAGGAAGGCATTTCTCCTATATTATCAAGTAATTCTTAAATTTTCAAGTAGTCAAAGTTGGTTCTTGAGCACAAAGATTAAAAACTAGATCCCCAACTATCCACCCACCCACCCTCCCCAAAACCAATTTCAATAAATTTAAAAAACCAAAAAAAACCTAGAGTCCTTAAGGGAACAAAAAGAGGAATGGACAGGGACAGGGCAAGATTCATATCCAGCAATCCACATTGCTGGATTTAAACTTTGCAATGATGACACTCAATGAAGATATGGATCAACTAAAACAGCTGACAAGAACAACACTTCCATCTCTGGAAAAATCTACGTCAAATCTGTTTAAATAAAATTCCATCTGCATAATATAAAACATTCTGAGATGATACCAAGAATTCTGTTTGTATTCATATCCACTGCAATTAGGTACTTTGATCAAAATTGAAATATTTTAAGATACATTTCCAAATAACCTACCTGCAACTGCATGACCACATAGTTGAATCGATCATTCCTCCCACAGCCAATAAATCTACAAACATGGTCTTTCCCTGGATAAAAGAAAGACAGAAAACAGTGGAAAAGGTTACATTATGGTTTCTCTTCTAAAAAATTAATAATTTGTTTTTCTGTACAGTATTTTATAATTGAATACAAAGGACCTGTCTTAAGAACCTTAAAAATAGGAAATCTGTATTATTCAAATTTTCTATCCACCTCCTCCTGGACCCTACACTGCTCCGTGTGTAGTCAAATACATGTTTATTGAATTTATTCATTCAATAAATGAATGAGGGAATAAACAATGATAATTTATTTAGGGAGTAAAGAATTAAAAGGTCCTTTCAGATCAACTTTGCCCAGACATTATACATACGAAAACAGAAGAGCAATAAATAAGAACTCTCTTAGGAATATAAATCCTAGGCGATATAAATATTATATTTATAATATAAATAAATCTATATTATAAATCCTGAATTTTAGATATGGTCTGCCATTCACCGATACATGACTTTAGTCCTTTAATCACTTAATCTTTCTGGGCCTCACTGATTTGGATTAGTTCAGTGGTTTTCAATCTGAGTTTTACCTATGAAATCCAAGGAGGTGCAGGCTAGGGCGCAGAGGAGAGCAGAAGTGGAGCAGGTAGCAATCTAGGGTCTGCCCTGGTTCAACAAAAGCAAACAAAGGTCCTAGAAAAGGATCAAGACTGGTGGCTCCAGGGGGAGAAGAGGGCATTTTGGCTGGAGCACAGTGAATGAAGGGAGAAGAGCATGAGAAGATGCTGGAGAAGCAAGCGGCACGAGGTCCTGAAAGGTCTTAGACTCCGTAACAAGGAAAGTGAACCACATGGAGAGGTCAGTTTTTCTCAGCCCTGGCTACTTATCAAAATCATCTTGGGAAGCTTTGTAAATTCCTAAACTCTTTACTGATTCAGAATCAATGGGGGAAAATACAGGTTGGAGCTTTTCAAAAGTTCTCTAAATGATCCAAAAGCAGATGGGCCATGGATGGACATATGATCTATTGGATCTACTGGTGGGTAATGAGAAGCATCTAAAAGATTTTAAGATGAGGTAAAACACACTTAAAACATCATACTTTAGAACACTGCTATGGTGGCAATGAGGACAGACTATACAGAGGTCAATTCTAAAGGCAGAAAGGTCACTCTGGGAACAGTTACAATATCCCAAGAGAGAGAACACGGTTTAAATTATAAATAGTATAGGAGAGATGGAAAAAATAAGATAAATATGAGAGATACTAAAGACAGTTTTTGACTAGAAACTGGTACAATTAAATGCTAAGTTGTACCAAAATAAGAGAATATATAGTAGGTTGTATAGGCTGTAAGGGAAATTAGAATGTTGAGTTTAAGGACAACCTGTTGAATTTAGCAGACACTTGTAATTTCAAGCCTGCTGCTGAGCAAAAAGCAGCTCAGTAGAAATATATTGGGGAATCATTAATTCATGGAAGGTAGACAGAACTACATACACAGATGGACAACTGCCAGGTTGGAAGAACATAAAGAATGAAAAGAAAATTAACCTAAGAACAGAGTTTTAGAAAATACAACATCTAGAGCATGGGCAAAAATAAAAGAACACATGAAGGAAATCAAGTAATAGCCAGAGAGGTATGAGGAAAATATGAGAAAGGGGTATTATAGAAATACAAGAAGCAGCAGCATTTTAATGCAAAAGTAGCCAATGGCAAATGCTACAGAAAGGCTGAGAAGTGCCGGTTAATATAAAAATTAGGAAGTCACTAGTGAGTGGAAAGGGCGGCAGCCAGTCTTTAACGGATTAAAGTGTAATTCAAGTATGAGGCAGTGAGGGCAATCTTTGAAGAAGTTTGTCTGTAAAGTGAGCAAGTCACACGCCAAGAGCTAGAAGGGCAAGATTTGGTGAATGAATGAGAAATATATCTCAACTTGAATTAAAAAAAAAAAAATCTTTCTACTGATTGACTTAAAATATAAATACAATCCAGACTTATTTTAGTTAATAATTCTACTTCTTTTACACTATTCTCTCATTCTCTGTGCTTCTGTTGGAAAGGGTTGGAACTAGCAAGAAATAAGTGGGAGCAATAATTCCCAATGTGTACAATGCATGTGCATCACTTTACATGTATTTTACAAATGTTTGCAAAACTGTGTCTGTCACCTAGTAAATTGCAGTAAGAATGAAAGGATGAAATGATGGCCAATTAGCAACTTATTCTTTCCCTCAGCTTCAACGCAACAATTTAAAAATCACTTAGGAAGTATTTTCTTCTTGTTATCCATTCAAGATTCCACCTTCCTAGCATATAACATTTAAATTAAGGATCTCTATTACAAAGACATTTCAACCATCTAAAAACAAAAGGCCATACTACATTTAACTCTTCTTGGAATGCTCTTTCAAAAATATCTTTATGGTACGTTATACCAAAATACTATTTATCCATCAATAGTGAAAACATCCTACTTTTAAAAAGAAAAAAGAAATCAATTGTAGATCCTTGACTGGTAAACAAAATACAAAGTCAGTAGCAAACTGTTTAGGATTCACCAACACATCTTCACTGCTTTAGGTTAGAGCTTAATGAGTTCTTACCTCACACTTTATAGCACAGTGTGCTACTGCTCTTATATTTTAGATACCTGCAATTAATGAAAATCCTTAATAAAGTTAGTTCAATAATATGTACAAACTTTTAGAAGCATGGAGAAACTACAATTTAACTGGAACAGGAATTCTTCACCACCACTTAAAGAGTGTTAAAATAACTAGTACAAACTGAGGTATCACTCCATGAGTATAGGGACCATATCTATCTTGCTCTGGAACTAGCACGGTACTTGTCAGATAGTGAAATGCCCAATCAAGGGGCGCCTGGGTGGCTCAGTTGGTTAAGCGACTGCCTTCGGCTCAGGTCATGATCCTGGAGTCCCAGGATCGAGTCCAGCATCAGGCTCCCTGCTCGGCAGGGAGTCTGCTTCTCCCTCTGACCCTCCCCCATCTCATGCTCTCTCTATCTCATTCTCTCTCTCAAATAAATAAATAAAATCTTAAAAAAAAATGCCCAATCAATATCTGTGAATAAACAAATTAATATAAATAATGATAGCTAGTAAAACATGAATAATATGCAAGCATATTGTGCCAGGCATTATATTAAGTGCTTTACATGCATTTAATCATCACAGTTTAAGTATTATTATTTTCCCCATTTTTCAGGTGTGAAGAATTAAGCAAAATAATCTCTAAAAATGAAGGGAGCAGAGTAGGTTATACTTGAAGAGAATTCTAATAATTCAAAATCATTGCTATGGAGAAAGGGAAACAGAAAATCAGCTTGCCAAAGCCAGAATATATCAGGTGAGACCTAATAAACTGTCATTTAGGTAAGAGTCCTGAGGAAAATCCAGATACCAGAACTATAGCAATCTTTATGGTAAATTAGGCAGTCTCCTAGGTCATATCTAGTTGGTAAGCAAACAAAAAAGACAGTCCCACGCTATGCACTACTAGGTCTGATCATGACTCCACGTTCACAAAAATAGTTATTCAACTTCATGCACAGTAAGATTAGAGGAGAGGTCCAGAAATATAACAGAAACTCAAAAGTCCCTAGGTAAACCATTCTATAAACTTTTAAGTTTTAAGAATTCCCAGTATAAAAGACATCCAAATAATCTTTTTTTAAAGATTTTATTTTGGGGCACCTGGGTGGCTCAGTCAGTTAAGCGTCTGCCTATGGCTCAGGTCATGATGCCAGGGTACTGGGATCGAGCCCCACATCAGACTCCTTGCTCAGCCGGGAGTCTGCTTCTCCCTCTCCATATGCCCCTCCCCCACACTCACGCGCACGCTCTGTCTCTCTCAAATAAATGAATAAATTCTTTAAAAAAAAAAAAAGATTTTATTTTTAAGTAATCTCTACACCCAATGTGGGGCTCAAACTCACAACTCCGAGATCAAGATTTACACACGCTACCAACTGAGCCAGCCAAGTGCCCCATGACATCTAAATAATCTTAATGTCACTCTAGAGCAGGAGTGATGTCAAACCCAAGCCAGTCCTCATTTTATTCCTACTTAATTAACTCCCATAGATTCTCATTATTGTATATAAAGGCACCAGAATATAATAGATATATAAATTTAATTTCAGCATCTTTAGGCTATATTGTCTTTGTTTGCTTGTCTGACCCCTAGACTGTAGGTACTTCTAGGGTAGGGACTCTAGTACCCAGCTCTGCACAGGATACTCACTAACTAAACAATGAATAAGTTTTTTATAATACCTTTATTGGAACATTACTAATATACCCCACCAAATCCACCCATTTCAAGTGTAATTCAATTGTTTTTAGTATATTCAAAGTTGAACCACCACCACCACAATAAACATTAGAACATTTTCATCAGCCCTACCCCATCCCACCAAAAAACCCATACTCATTAGTTGTCACTTCCATTTCCCCCTGCAACTCTCCCAGCCCTATGAGAGTCAGCCCCACTAATCTACTTTCTATCTCTACAGATTTGCCTATTCTGGACATCTCACATAAATGGAATACTACAGTAAGTAGTTTTTGTGACTGGCTTCTTTCACCTAGCATAATGTGTTCAAAACTCATCCATGTTGTAGCATGTATCAATATTTCACTTCTTTTGTCAATAATATTTATTATATAGCTATACCACATATTTTGTTCAGCCACTTATCAGCTGATTGTCCATTTGGGTTGTTTCCACTTTTTGTTTACTATGAATAATGCTACTATGAACATTCACATACAAGTTTTTGTGTAGACATACTTTCATTTATCCTGGGTATATATATAACCGGGAGTAGAATTGCTGGGTATATGGTAACTCCATGTTTAATCTTAAGCAGCCCAAAGGCACTGCTGGACTGTTTTCCAAAGAAGCTGCACATTTTATATTCCTACCAGTAACATATGAAGCTTCTAATTTCTCTACATCCTCATCAACTCTTGTTATTTTCTATATCTTTTTTTATTGCAGTCATCCTTGTGAGAGTG